TCAAAGCCCGGCAGGAGAGGAGGCTGGCGGAGATCAACAGGGTAAGCGCACGCCGCCGCCTTCGCTTGTCCAGCCGCGCCGCTGGGGCAGCTCGCGAGTCGCCGGAGCCGCGCGCCCCCAAAACCCCCAATGCCCCGCGGGTTCCACCCCCGTCTGCGAGGCTGTGCCTGCTGCAAAATCAACCCCCTTCCTGTTCTTCCCCCGGGCTCCCCGCAGTGTCCGCCCTCCGCCCCTGCCCTTGTGCCCGGGGCTCCAGGTAGGTCTGCCTCCACCCGCTCCACGCAGTTCTGCTCCCGGCATCTCGGGTTGCAAGTTGTTACTCTTAGGCTGGCGGACTAGGGCCGGGCCAGGAGCTCCGATGCCAGCGGGCCCAGGGCTCCCCAGAAGCCCGCCTGGGACCAGCCACAGGGATTTGGTGCTGGAAGGGACCCCGATGTCTCTGAGCAGTCCCGGTTTTACAGCTTGGGGACGGAAGGGAGGCCCAGGGAGGCGTGGTGGCTGCCCTGACGTGGCCCAGCCAGAGCAGAGCCGGGTCAGGCGGCTGTTAACACCCTGGGCCCTAGACTCTCGGGCGGGTGCACTCTCCACCTTACAAAATGGTGGTCTCCTGCCTGCCCCACCCCACCCTCGCCACCCACCCGTCCCTCCAACTTTTGGGAAAGGCTCCCTTAGAGCCTTGATTCTTCTTCGCTGGTCCTGGTGGATTTCTATAAAAGAAACCCTTCCAGCCGTCGCCAGGCCCATGATGGAAGCTCCATAAATGTTTGCGTAATGACCATGGAGCTTCTGGAAGATAAGGAAAAGGGTCAGGGCCTGCCTGGTTTGGCCAGAGCTCAAAGGCAGCGTAGCCAGGGGCTTTGGGATTCTGCATGATGTGGGCTCAGGTCTGGTCTCCATCGCCAAGGAGCTCTCATCACAGACCCTGAGGGCTCAGTGAAGGGAGACATGTAGTGTCCAGCATGCATGCACGAGGCAAGACCCTCATGGACGGTACTAGAATTATTTCCTGAGGGGGACATCTCCCAGGTTCCTAATGAACTGGTTGTAGAGGCATGCCCACTCACGCAAGGCTGGGTGTTCCCTCTGCTGGCTCCCTAGGGCCACTGGACGCCCAGGGTCCAAGCCCAGCTCAGGGTCCCAGAGTGGGAAGCTGGAGGGGTCAGCGGGGTGCTGGTGGAGGCTGGGGGTGGGGCCAGGTACTGGGTATTTACACCGGAGAGGCTGGTAGTCTTAACTCCCTCGCTGATTTTCTTGGATTGTCTAGAAGTAGGCAGCCTATCTGATTTCATTCCACTGGCTGTAGGTATTTCTTGGAGGTCCTTAGGGACGCCAGGGTCCCTCACTGCCATCCTCACACTGTCTCTTGGTGCCATCTTGAGCACAGCTGAAAGGGAGCCAGGGTGTCTGGCTGGGACCTCAGAGGTCCAGGCTGCTGGGCTCTCTCCCAGTTCGCTGTGCTTGCCCTCTGGACAGGAGCCTGGAACCCTGACCTCAAACAGCCCCCTGGGCCACTCGGCTGGGCGGGTTCCAAGCTGGCTGGACCTGCCCACAGCCAGCAGGACCGTGAGCCAGAGACAGCTGGGGATGGGGAGACGTCACTGTAGTTGGACAAACCAGAGGAGCTAGCTGAGTGTGTGGGACTTTGCGTGCCAACCTTGCCCTTGGCGGGGGGCGGACTGGGGAGAGGCCACAGGGTTGTTTTGGGAGGTGGATTGAACTCTCAGGGGCTGAACTGGACAGCACTGGGACCGGAGAAGGTGAGCAAGCAAACGTCTAACCACCTTAGGACCCCAGTACCCAGAGGGCGAGCGGCTGGCCGAAGCCAACAGCAGCCAGAGGCAGAGCTTGCCGTCTAGTGTCCTCTACCTGCCTGGGTCCTGTTCTGAGACCCAGCATATGAGCCAGGCTGCTGGGGCCCAGGCTCTCGGCTCCCCTGGAGGAAGGAGGCTCCCAGGTCCAACTGGAAACGAGCTACTTCCCACCGCAGCAGGTCAAGGTGGCCCCACCATGGTTTACAGTCACTGGGCGGAGGAAGAGGGGATAGTGTTGCTGGCTCTATGACCTTGGGCCAGCCGCTTGAGATAATGGTAGTGGGTTGTTATGACTTTTCAGGGAGATAACCTACGTAAAGCACGTAGGGAGCTGACTCCTGTCGTGATTGTTTTCAATGGTTGGTTTGGGCTTGAAAGGTACAGTTCGTGGAAACCCAAGGTCTGAGATTTGCCGTGGCCTCTGCCAGCTTCTCAGCCCGGGCCAGACCCCTTCATCTGGCAGAGCCTTAGTCTTCTCCTGCCTGAAGTAGGAGCAGCAGCCCCTGTTCTGCTCCGAGTCCCTACGACAGTCAGTGGTGACGAGCAGACAAGGTCTTTGAAGACTCTGAGGGGGTCGCTCTCTTTGAGGGTCGGAGTCGGTTCCACCCACGGCTACAGTCACAGTGGAGGTTCCCTGGAGTGGGCGGATTCTAGGGAGAACCATGTTGGCAGCCTAGATTGGCCTTCCTTTGGGGTGCAGCTTTACTGCCCCACTGGAGCAGGGCTTCTGGGGGGTGGCTGGACTGAGCAGCTGCCCAGTGGCCCTGTGGAAGCCGGAAGCCATGCAGGATGGGGCTCCATGCTCCCTGCATGTGCTTGGGCACCTCTGTGGCCGAGCCCAGCCTGGCTGGCAGCTTTGGGGATTCTAGGGCCAACTCCCTAGTTCCCTTTGGGCCTTCTTCCCCACCCCAGGGCGGTGGAGGGGGGGTGGTTACAGCTTCCGGAAGTCTGCGCAGGGTGGCTCGGTCTTAGCCGTTGTTATTATAAGGGATTCAGGAGTGACAGTAGGAGACGGGGCGGGCCTGGAAGTCCGGGTGCAGCTGTATAGAAATGCACACTTTTGGTCTCTAGCTTTTGCTGTCATTTCTTGAGCACTTGGCATGTGCCAGGCAGTGTGCCAGGCGTGCTTTAGGCGTTATCTCGCTGAGTGCTCACTCTCACCCTGAGGGTGTCTAGTCCCATTTTATGAAAAATGGGACTCAGAGAGGTGGAGTCAGTCGTCTGGGTTTAAACAGCCGCACTCAACCCCAGCCTATTCGCTCACTCTCTGAGCTTGATTTGGTCTCCGCTGTGGGTGCCCGCCCCCACCTCCGAGTGTGTGTGTGTGTGTGTGTGTGCGTGTGTGCTCTGCACTACTGGAGCAGGCAAGACGGGTGCGCATCTCCTACTCCCCCCACATAGCTGACATTCCCTGCGCCCTGATGGCGTGGCAGGTGACCTCGGGCCAGACAAGCCCAGTCTTATTTGGCAACGGGACGAAGTCTCTGCAGCTTCCCGTGGGGACAGAGAGAAGTGGTGGGGCTGGATGGGGGTCCCCTGGGGGCCCCTCAGAGTGCCCTTACCCTTGGGACCGAGCATGGGGAGCCAGAAAGATGGTGAAAACTATAGTTTGAGCCAGCTGGAGGCCAGGGTGTCTAACAAAATAATGGGAGGCGTGCCGGGCC